AATATGGCATTTAATTATTTTTTCCGACTCTTTTTACCATCAGATCTCAAGGCAACAAACAGATAAAACAATATAAACAATTTGAACAATGCCAAACTAAAATCAACACATAATTTAAACAGGATAAAAACATATTAAACAATTCAAGCAAGATAAAACAGCTTTAAAAGGCTGAAAAGGGTCTAGGGGAACTGAGTTTATTTGGTAATATTTGTTCAAAAGGGACGTACTCCCTACCTCTGAAACTGTGAGAATGTGACTTGCCTCCTCCAGTTCCCACAGCTCAGTACAGATTCAAAACCTGGTTTACAAGGTGACATCCCAATACTCAAACGTAAGTCACACTGACTTACAGCATTTACACATAATTTTCAACATCTTCATGACATACAAATTAAAAAACCCAATCAACATCTGCCAGAGTTGCTTGAGAGAACAAGCTTTTCGGCTCAAAATTTCCCACACTTTAGCCAAAAGCCTTGTTTTTGTAAATATCAAATTAAAAATAACCCCTCTCATTTTTCTGCCTATCACAATCCAGGCAGAAACATCTCAGAATTAATTAAAATACCCCTTTAAACAAAGTGCAGGCCCTACACAATGTCTCCAATTGGTTTTCAGAATTCCCCAAAGTTTCAAAAGAACCCAACAGAATTATGTTTAAGATTCAGGTACTCTGCCCAATGAACACGTCCCGAACACACCACTGATCAAGGGCTTTTGCTGAACCTAGGAAGTGAAATATTACTCCTATACTATTTAATGCAACTGCACTGATGAGTGCTGTACTGTGTCCTCCCCAAATATTCCTCACAAACAAACCTATAAAGTTATTTATTTCCTATATTTATACCCCGTCCTTCTCCCCCCGAAGGGGGACTTAGGGCGGCCCAACAAAAGCATCATACAATGCTAGCATCATAAAAACAACCACAGTACAATCAAAATATTGAAAATATTGAAATAACAATTAAAACAATTATGATACATCTATTAAAATCGAAATCCAAAAACCAGTCCGGGTCAATTCATTGCCATAAGTTGTGTGATCTTCTTCCACTTGCTGCTCACTGATCAAACGCTTGGTCCCATCACCAGGTCTTGATTTTCCTTCCAAAAGACAAGAGGGAGGTGGCCAATCTGATATCTCTAGGGAGGTCATTCCATAGGCGGGGGGCCACTGCTGAGAAGGCCCTGTCTCTTGTCTCCATCAATCGCATTTGCGATAGTGGTGGGATCGAGAGCAGGGCCTCTCCTGAAGATCTTAAACTTCGTGATGGTCCGTGCCAGGAGATACATTCAGACAGGTAGTCTGGGCCAGAACCGTTAGAGGAGGAAGTACACGGAGCTGATCTGAGAATCAGCAAATTTGAAATGGGTTTCCATCATTATATTTTGACATTCTAATTAAAATAATACATGTTGAGCATCCTTATCCAAAATGCTTAGGACTGAAAGTATTTCATATTTTGGAATATTTCCATATACATAATGATATCTCTTGGAGATGGAACCCATGCCTAAACATGGAATTCATGTATATGTTCTACACATAACCTATTTATTTATTTACGGCATATATATGCCGCCCTTCTCACCCCAAAGGTAAAGATAAATGTATATGCAATGTTTTTAATAAATTTTCCACGTGAAACAAGGTTTGTGTACATGAACCATCAGAAAGCAAATGTTCACTTTCTTAGCCACCCATGTGAACAAGTTAGGATTTTGGAATGAGGAACACCCAACCTATACAGTGAGGTGCACATCCATGCACAACGAAAAGCACCCACTGGATCCAAATCTTCTCTGGGGAAATGAATAAGAGATACACAAGAGAGTCTCATAACAAAACTTATTGAACAGCAACTGGCGGATCCAACTATAGTGGAGGGAAGGGGGAGATGCTGACAAATGATTGATGAAACAAAGGCTCCAAACGTTCAAACAAATTGAATGAAATACAGTTTAGCTTGGCTGAAAAGGGCACCAAGGTGGCTCACGCTACCAGCCTTCCAGAAATAAACCCAAGCAACTAGACCAAAGGTGAGAAAGGTGTGGAAAATGAGCTGTATGTGCCCCAATCTTTCTTTTTTTTCATCCTTCAAAGCTCCCCTTTAAAAGAACTTTGAAAAATGACAAGGAAATTCAGCAACATGACCAGCAGCAAGCAGCAACATACTTAACAACCTGGAAGGCTTTGAAAGTGACAAAGGAACGGCAAGAGAAAAGCAAGTTTCAACTTATGTCTTCTTGTTTACTAAGGCCAAAGAGAGAAAAAGAGCCAAGGGTGAGGGTCATATAAGCTTCCCTTAGCAGCATCCCACTCCCCACTGGTACCACTACTGCTTCAACTTTGCAGGTGTGAAAAGAAAGCAGATAAAACAAGCTGCCATTGATGACAGACTTCTTGTTGTCTGTTGGATAAGCTCACAGGGCAGGTGGATAGGCAAGCTGTTGCCCAGTGCTGTCCAGTAATAGAAATCCCCTTGCAATATTGTTCATCCACCAAAACACGACTTTCTTTGATCCCCTTTGTCTCCTTGCCTCCCCACCCCAATGCCTGTATACTAGTCATCTTGTCCCTAGATGGTAGCTGAACAGCTCAATCCACCATGACGTGCTACCACAACCCATTTGAGGAACACCAAAGATGGAAGGAATGCAGTTTGGGGTCCACAGGCAACCCCCGGAACCAGACAATGCATATATAGAAAGTCTTAAATCTCCCTCCTTTTCAAAAAGATTTCCAACCAAAACATTGAAAACCACACACTAAGGTTGTTGACATGCATCATCTCGACCTCTACCAACTTCCTGCCCCACTAAAAAAAGTCATACGAAATGTTCTCAATCTATATCAATAAAAATGTAATGTTTGTTTGTGGGATTAACATAACACAAAAACCACTGGACGAATTGCTGCCAAATTTGGCCACAAGACACCTACTAACCCAAGGAGTGACCATCACTCAAAAAATTGATTTTGTCATTTGGGAGTTGTAGTTGCTGGGATTTATAGTTCACCTACAATCAAAGAGCATTCTGAACTCCACCAATGATGGAATTGAACCAAACGTGGCACACAGGACTCCCAACCAACAGAAAACACTATAAGGGTTTGGTGGGCATTGACCTTGAGTTTGGGAGTTGTAGTTCACCTACATCCAGAGAGCACTGTGGACTCAAACAATGATGGATCTGGACCAAACTTGGCACGAATATTCCATATGCCCAAATATGAACACAGATGGAGTTTGGGGAAAATGGACCTTGACATAGGGAAGCTGATGAGGAAACACAACATACAAACAATCTACAAACCCACCAAGAAAATCCAACAAATGCTACGTTCACCAAAGGACAAGAGGGATCCTCTCACCTCTGCAGGAGTCTACCGTATACCATGCACCTGTGGACAAGTCTACATAGGGACCACCAAACGCAGCGCCCAGACACGAATCAAGGAACATGAAAGGCACTGCAGACTACTCCAACCAGAGAAATCAGCCATAGCAGAGCACCTGATGAACCAACCTGGACACAGCATTTTATTTGAGAACACAGAAATGCTGGACCACTCTCACAACCACCATGTCAGACTACACAGAGAAGCCATTGAAATCCACAAGCATGTGGACAATTTCAACAGAAAGGAGGAAACCATGAAAATGAACAAAATCTGTCTACCAGTATTAAAAAACTCTAAAATTGCAACAGCAAAAACAGCAGAGAGAAAAACAGGCAGGGACATCTAATCACCTTTCAAGAAAAGTTTGCTCCAGGCACAGTCAGCCCATTGTATGCTAATCAAGGTGGTCAGTTGAAAGATTCACACCTAGCCCAACTTACAAAAGCCCTTTGTCTCACCCTGGTCATTCCACAGATATATAAACCCCTTTTTCCCAGTTCCAGCAGACCTCACCTCTGAGGATGCTTGCCATAGATGCAGGCGAAACGTCAGGAGAAATGCCTCTAGAACATGGCCATATAGCCCGAAAAAACCCACAAGAACTGAGTTTTCAGCCATGAAAGCCTTCGACAATACAATGTAATGTTCGTTTGTGGGATTAACGTAACTCAAAAACCACTGGAAGAATCAACACCAAATTTGGACACAATACACCTATCAGGCCAACAAGTGACCATCACTCATAAAAACATTGACAAACACAGCAGAAGAGACTTAAAAAGCCCCCCAAAATACATTACAACACATGTGCAAAACCACATATTTAAACACAAACACTCTTATTTACACATATACACAAATATATACACACACAAAGCAAATATACACAGACTGGGCCACAGCAATGTGTGGCAAGGGACGGCTAGTTCCCTTAATAAAAAAGATGCAATACCATTTCAGATCAAGCTGGTGTAAGCCCTCTATATGCCCCCTTGGCAACTCCACAGTTACCCGTCCCGGACTGAAAAGAAAGGGCCTTGTGACCCTCATGGAAAAGAGTCACAAACAGAGTTGAGTAAACCAGATGGCAGAACTTCAGCTGCAATGTGCTTTCCTACAGCATGCTACAAGAACATCGCTTGCAGTTTTTAGAACAAGTACTGGTTAGAAAGCAACAATAAAAATAATATTATTATAATACTAAATCTTTATTTATATCCTGCTTTTCTCCGTCACAGGTCCCAAAGTGGCTTATAACATCTTAACATCATACAAACAACAGACCAAATACATCAATAATAAACATGAATATCATAAAATAAAAACCCTAACCCTAAGCCTCGCTCTCCCTGGCATCATCGGCAGCAACCCAGAGCAGCTCAACACATGTGCAAAACCACATATATAAACGCAAACACACATATATACACATATACACAAATATATACACACATAAAGCAAATATACACAGACACCTTAACATCATACAAACAATTTAAATAGCAAACTACAATATACAGTCACATTTGTGTATCGTATCATGTCAAGTGATATATAGTACGCTGCTCCACTAGTCATGTTATGAAGTTCTATCAGTCAGGGTTAATTTCCATCACTGAAAGATGGTCTGAACAGAAATGTTTTGAATTGGTTCTTGAAAAAAGCAAGAAAGAGGGGTGTTTTCATAATACAATGATAATGGAAGGACCAAACCAAAGGAGACTGCTTCCAAATTTGCCCTTACCGTCTTTGGGCGAAGCATGGGCCCGCGATGCTGGCAGTCGGCACAACCTGTGCTTCCCGATTTGCACGAGGCCCTTAGTCCCAGCCCTCCTTGCCGTGGGAGAGGGCTTTCCCCGAGGAGAGCTCTTTTTCCTGAGGGAATAGCGGCTTTTGAGGACCACAGTGGAGAAGGCAGCATTCCTCTTGTCAACTGGAGAGCTGGAGGGACAATAAAATCATTTGATGAAATGTCGTCGTCATCTGATCCCTTCAAAAGGCAGGTATAAGTGCAATAAATTAATTAATATACTGTCGAAGGCTTTCATGGCCAGAATCACTGGGTTGTTCTAAGTTTTTTGGGGGCAGAGAGTGTTTGAGGACCGGGACATCCGTAGGGATACCAAGGTGCTTGTTTATAAAGCTATTGTCCTCCCAACCCTGCTCTATGCCTGTGAAACGTGGACTGTCTACAGGTGTCACACTCAACTCCTGAAACGATTCCATCAGCGTTGCTACTGAAAAAGCCTGCAATCTCTTGGGAAGACAGGACAAATGTCAGTGTGCTGGAAGAAGCAAAGACCACCAGCATTGAAGCAATTCTCCTATGCCATCAACTCTGCTGGATTGGCCACGTTGTCTGGATGCCCGACCACCCTCTCCCAAAGCAGTTGCTCTACTCCGAACTCAAGAACGGAAAACGGAATGTTGGAGGACAGGAAAAGAGATTTAAAGATGGGCTCAAAGCCAACCTTAAAAACTCTGGCATAGACACTGAGAACTGGGAAGCCCTGGCCCTTGACCGCTCCAGCTGGAGGTCAGCTGTGACCAGCAGTGCTGCAGAATTTGAGGAGGCACTAGTGGAGGGTGAAAAAGAGAAACGTGCCAAGAGGAAGGCGCGTCAAGCCAACCCCGGCCGAGACCGCCTTCCACCTGGAAACCAATGCCCTCACTGCGGAAGAAGATGCAGAGCAAGAATAGGGCTCCACAGCCACATACGGACCCACAAGAATATTGGAAGACAATCATCCTCGGAAAGCAAGGGATCGCCTAAGTAAGTAAAAGTATTTGATTTTGAATAAGCATTTAAGTAATTGAAATTCTGACAGTGCCTAGAGCAAATGTTTGTTGAGTAGTGGACAATTTCAACAGAAAGGAGGAAACCATGAAAATGAACAAAATCTGGCTACCAGTATTAAAAAACTCTAAAATTACAATAGCAAAACAACAGAGAGGAAACAATCAGGGACATCTAATCACCTCTCAACAAAAGATTGCCCCAGGCACTTACAAGCCACACCAAGCAACTGCCAGGCCATCAAATGCTAATCAAGGTGGTCAGTTGAAACATTCACACCGAGCTCCAACAGACAAGAGTCCTTTGTCCCACCCTGGTCATTCCACAGATATATAAACCCCTTTTCCTAGTTCCAACAGACCTCACTACCTCTGAGGATGCTTGCTTTAGATACAGGCGAAACGTCAGAAGAGAATGCCTCTAGAACATGGCCATATAGCCCAAAAAAACCTACAACAACATCAGGAGATAATGATTTTGGAACATGGCCATACAGCCAGAAAACTGACAGCAACCCAAACTAAGATCCCTTTTGCATCTCGTTTGTAAAAAAGCTTTCCTGTATGTTTAGCACATATATGTCACTGACTGAAGTCTAGCCTAAATGTCCCGAAGCTAGGGAATGGCATTCATCCCAGGTATTACAAAGAATGAAAGGGTGTTGTTGACTTCACTGCTCCAGATGCAGACCGAGAGCAACAAATAGAACAGCAGGAAGAGGCTTGAACAGCCTGTGGTCCTTACAAACAACAGAATCAATATCCTTACCAGGCATTTCCTTTTCTCCTGATGATTTTAGTCCGGCTTTTCAATTTGTAAAAGCCCGAATTCCCACAGGATGGCCTTGGTGCCCCATGACCAAGAGACATCCGTCTTGCTAGCTGAAGGGAAGAGCTGGCATCCACACTGGGGGAAACTCCAGCCCCATCGTGCTCCTTATGATGCCACGTAAACAAAGACGTGGATGTGGAAGGAGAAGACTGGAGACTGGATGCCTTCCATTTATACTGGCTGGAGGACACCCCAAGCTTTGAATGAAGGCCAGGCTTCTTCTGCTTCACTCCCAACTCCCCTCTGGGCTGTAACTTGGCAGCTGCCTTTGAACTCACAGAAAATTTGTGTGCATTCTCACAGGCTCTGGAAGTAGCCCATCTTTTCACAGTCCGAGGGGATTTACTTGGGTTCGCCACCCAGGTATAGTTTGCTTTCCTGAACCTTGGAGATTTCATGGAGCTTGGCAAGACAGGAGTTTTTTGGACAGTAGGTGCTGAATGCTTTCTCTCAGAGAGATTCTTTCCAGGTGTTGAAGGTGCCTTGCATGCTGACTTAGTGCAAACAACAGGTGTATCCACAACCTTCAAGGGGTTGGCTTTGCCTTTCGCCCCAGGGGGTTGTTGGGAACGGTGCAAAAGTGGTGCTTGTAGTGCTGGTGTCTTCCTCTTTGGCAAGTAACTTGACTCATGATCAAGCACAATAAGAGATTGTTGAGGCTCAGATTTTAAAGCAATGGCGCTCTCACTGATAGTCCTGCACAAGCTGGGGGCAAGTTCTGACACTCCCTGAATGGCTTCTGAAGTCACAGGTACTTTCTGACGTGCCTTAGGAGCATCATTATCCCTGCTCCTAGGCACAGTTTTGAAATCCGGTAAATATGGCAGTTCTTTGCTTTTTTTAAAGTCAATATTTGAAGTCGAAGCACTGCTGCTTACACGTCCTTGAAAAGCAGCAGGAGCTCCTAATGTTGCTGAAGGACCTCTTTGTGATTTTGGTTCAGCAGTACTGCTAGCTGCTAAAGCAGCCTGAAGTTGTGCAACAGTCCTGTCCATTGTGGCTCCTTCATTTGTTTCTGAAAGCACCCGTTGTGGCTCAGCTTCCCCACTGCTTCCATGGCTCATTGTAGTCCATGAAGTCCTTGCAGAAACACTGCTTCCAGAAGAAGGTGTTGGTCGAGGCTGTACGTTGACAAGAGAGTATTTATTTCTCCAGGTATTGGCAGTGGTCTGGCAAGGTGGAAAATCTCTCTGTGTTTGCTGAGAATATCGCGTAGAGAATGAACCCCGGTTAGTAAAGGCAGGTCTGGGATTCCTCCATCTAAGAGTAGGCGGGGGAACAGGTGCATTCCCATGAATGTTTTTATGGTCATCAATGAGACCTTAAAGGGAAAAAGAAAAGCACTATGGTTAGTTATGTCTTCAACCACATGTGTAGCAGCAGGAAAACCCCAAAACCATTTTCCTTACATCAGTGTTTCTCAACCTGGGGGTCGGGACCCCCAGAGGGGTCGTGAGGGGGTATCAGAGGGGTCACCAAAGACCATGAGAAAACATAGTATTTTCTGTTAGTCATGGGGGTTCTGTGTGGGAGGTTTGTCCCAATTCTATCATTGGTGATGTTCAGAATGCTCTTTGATTTAAGTGAATTATAAATCCCTGCAACTACAACTCCCAAATGTCAAGGTCTACTTTTCCCAAACTCCACCAGTGTTCACATTTGGGCATATTGAGCATCTGTGCCAAATTTGGTCCAGATCCATCATTGTTTGTGCTCTCTGGATGTAGGTGAACTACAACTCCAAACTCAAGGTCTATACCCACCAAACCCTCCCAGTATTTTCTGTTGGTCCTGGAAGTTCTGTGTACCAAGATTGGTTCGATTCCATCGTTGGTGGAGTTCAGAATGCTCTTTGATTATAGGTAAATCCCAGCGACTACAACTCTCAAATGACAAAATCAATCAATCCTATCCTAAACCCACCAGTATTCAAATGTGGGTGTATCAGGTATTTGTGCCAAATTTGGTCCAGTGAATGAAAATACATCCTGCATATCAGATATTTACATTATGATTCATAACAGTAGCAACATTACACTGTGAAGTAGCAACAAAAATAATTTTATGGTTGGGGGTCACCGCAACATAAGGGACTGTATTAAGGGCATTAGGAAGGTTGAGAAATACTGCCTTACATTATGCATATAATAATCATCATCATCTTTATTTATACCCCGCCATCATCTCCCCAACGGGGACTCTGAGCAGCTTACTTGGGGCCAAGACCGAACAACAAATTACAATACAAAAAATACAAAATTACAATAAAATAAACAACATAACATTAAAGTATAAAACATCAAAGCATATAAACAATATACATAAAACATAAGAACCAAACATAAGGACAAAGAGCGGGCCGCATGTACATAAAATGATTTAAAAACTCCGGGTGAGATAAAGGGGTAAAACGAATTGTAAGGAGGACTCATGGAGACAAACCATATCTCAGCAAGATCACTAGCAGTGTCATCCTTACCACAATACCATCTATATAATTTGGCAAAATGCAATCTTGTTCATTAGGAGCTATAATCTCGTCCATCAGGAGCCACATTTAAACCATTCTGTTCCAAGGTAACAAAAGGAAAGCAGTAACCAACACAGCTACCCAGATATGAACACCGGTGGAGTTTGGGTGAAATAGACTTTGATATTTAGGAGTTGTAGTTGCTGGGATGTATAGTTAACCTACAATCAAAGAGCACTCTGAACCCAGGCCGCAATGGATCAGACCAACCAATCACAGCAGAGGAGGGCTTTTGGTGAGAGAATTCGCTGTCAGTTTCCAAAAAGGAAAAGAAGGACATGTAGAGAGATCTTCAGCCTTCTTTGCCAAAGGGGTGCCTAAGACCATCCGAAATATGTGTTTTTGGATGGTCTTTGGTGACCCCTCTGAAACCCCCTCATGACCCCTCCAGGTCCCAACCACCAGACTGAGAAATGCTGAGGTTGCATAGCACAATATTAGTATTATATATGATTATATTGTATGATTATTAGTATTATATCATATGACATTACAATATTGTTATCAATATTATTTATATTATTAGCATTGCATGGAGCCCCCGGTGGCGCAATGGGTTAAACCCTTGTGCTGGCAGGACTGAAGACTGACAGATCAGAGATTCGAATCCAGGGAGAGCGCGGATGAGCTCCCTCTGTCAGCTCCAGCTCCTCATGCAGGGACATGAGAGAAGCCTCCCACAAGGATGGTAAAACATCAAACATCTGGGCATCCCCTGGGCAACACCCTGCAGATGGCCAATTATCTCACACCAGAAGCAACTTGCAGTTTCTCAAGTCGCTACTGACACACAAAAAAAATTGCATAGCACAATATTAGTATTATATATTATAATACTGTATTATTATTAGCACTATATTGTATTACATTATATTATTATCAATATTATATGTATTATATTATTAGCATAGTACAATATTAGCATTTTATATTGTTATATTATTATTAGTATTATATCCTATTGTATTACAATATTGTTATCAATATTGTATTATATATATGTTATATTTTTAGCATAGTGCAATATTAGTATTATACATGATTATACTGTATAATTAGTATAATATTGAATTACATTATATTACTATCAATATTAATAATAATTAGCATAGCACAATATTGGTATGATATAACACCGTATTATTATTAGCACTATATTGTATTACATTATATTATTATCAATATATATGTACTATGTAGCATAGCACAATATTAGTATTTTATATTGTTATATTATTATTAGCATTATATCGTATTGTATTACAATATTGTTATCAATACTATATTATATATATTATATTATTAACATAGGTCAAAGGACATTTAATTAGCAACCAAGTTTGCAAAATTTGTGGTTTTTTTATCTGTTTGCTTGTTTTGTTCTGTTAGAAATGTAATACAATGTTCTGGTTGACACGGGATATATTGAGCATGGTATTTATTTATTTATCGTGTCATCAGTGACCAGACATTTGTATTACATTTTTAACAAAAACAAACAGTCAAAACACAGAATTTGCAAGCTTGGTAGTTGATTAAATGTCCTTTGACCAGTATCTGGCCACTTGGAGTGCCTCTGGTGTTGCTGCAAGAAGGTCCTCCATTGTGCATGCGGCAGGGCTCAGGGTGCATTGCAGCAGGTGGTCAGTGGTTTGCTCTTCTCCGCACTCGCATTTCGTGGATTCCACCCTGTGGCCCCATTTCTTAAGATGGCTCTGCATCTCGTGGTGCCAGAGCGCAGTCTGTTCAGCGCCTTCCAAGTCGCCCAGTCTTCTGTGTGCCCAGGGGGGTCTCTCATTTGGTATCAGCCATTGATTGCGGTTCTGGGTTTGAGCCTGCCACTTTTGGACTCTTGCTTGCTGGGGTGTTCCAGCGAGTGTCTCTGTAGATCGGAATATAAATACTGTAAATAAATATTATTTATTTATTTATTTATTTACTTTACTTTACTTGTATACCGCAGTTTCTCAGCCCAACAGGCGACTCAACGCGGTTTACAACAAGGATAAGAATCAATCAACGATATACAATTTAAAACCATAAAAGCATAATATACAATATTGACACAACAATAGACAACACAATGCATCTCATAACTAGAGTCGTGATCCAATCCGTCGTCCAAATTTCCATTCCTGTAATCATCACATTCATTGCACTGTTTAACCGAATGCCCGTTCAAACATCCAAGTTTTTAATTTTCTCTGGCTGATACCCAAACAAGGGATGAGCTGGAGATGTCTCTGCCTTGATCCTTTCACTATTGGCTGCTACTTCCCGGCGGATGTCAGGTGGTGCAATACCGGCTAAGCAGTGTAATTTCTCCAGTGGTGTGGGGTGCAGACACCCTGTGATAATGCGGCATGTCTCATTAAGAGCCACATCCACTGTTTTAGTGTGGTGAGATGTGTTCCACACTGGGCATGCATACTCAGCAGCAGAGTAGCATAGCGCAAGGGCAGATGTCTTCACTGTGTCTGGTTGTGATCCCCAGGTTGTGCCAGTCAGCTTTCGTATGATATTGTTTCTGGCACCCACTTTTTGCTTGATGTTCAGGCAGTGCTTCTTGTAGGTCAGAGCACGGTCCAGAGTGACTTCCCAGGTATTTGGGTGTGCTGCAATGCTCCAGTGGGATTCCTTCCCAGGTAATAATCCTCAGAGCTCGGGATGCTTGTCTGTTCTTGAGATGAAAGGCACATGTCTGTGTTTTGGATGGATTAGGGATCAGCTGGTTTTCCCTGTAATAGGCAGTAAGAGCACCTAGAGCTTCGGAGAGCTTCTGTTCAACCATCTCAAAGCTCCCTGCTTGAGCAGTAATGGCACGATCATCAGCATAGATGACACTCTGTCCCTTCTGGCAGTGGCTGGTCATAGTGCAATATTAGTATTATACATGATTATACTGTATTATTAGTAGTATTATATTGTATTACATTACATTATTATCAATATTATATGTATTATGCCATTAGTATAGCACAATATTAATATAATACATGATTATATTCTCTTATTATTAGTATTATTTCGTATAACATTACAATATTATAATCAATATCACTTGATACAATATTATTATTACATATTATTAGTATTAGGATGATTATATTGTAGCTTTATCATATAAAATACCTTGAAGGAGGCGAATCTGTCGCCTCAGCTGCTCCTTCTCCGCCATCTTTCCCACAGAATTACTCTCAACGTCATCGATGCGCCGCCGGACACCACTTCCGCGTACGTCACCGCCCTGCGCGGCATCACTTGGCTCTTTAGAGCAACGCAAAGTGTAGACGGAACCACCCATGCGTTACTTCCGTATATATTATGTCCGCCAACTTTTTAATACAGAAGGAAGAAAGAGATCATCGCTTGGCTCCTTAGAGCAACGCAAAGTGTAGATGGACCCACCCGCGAGTTACTTCCGGATATATTCTGACAGCCAATTGTTTTAATACAGAAGTATGTTATAAGATTGGGTTGTTATAGGTTTTTTCAGGCTATATAGCCATGTTGTAGAGGCATTCTCTCCTGACATTTCGCCTGCATCTATGGCAAGCATCCTCAGAGGTAGTGAGGTCTGTTGGAACTATGAAATTGGTTTATATATCTGTGGAATGACCAGGGTGAGACAAAGGACTCTTTTCTGCTGGAGCTAGGTGTGAATGTTTCAACTGACCACCTTGATTAGCATTTGATGGCCTGGCAGTGCCTGGGAAAATCTGCAGCTTGAATCCAAGAGGGGAAAAAAACCTAGTAAATTCTTTTAAAATTTGGACTTTAATTTTATTAAATTCTATTTTAAAAATCAGCTTCATAAAGAACGAATGAAATAAGTTTCATTCAATGCTCGCAATAAAAATACAACTTCAACCCATTGGTACTGATACAAGAAATTGTATTACATTACAATATTGTTATTGCTATAATGATAATGTATATAATAATAAAATAAAATAATATAATATATAGTATATATATATACAATGATACAATCATAGAATCAAAGAGTTGGAAGAGACCTCATGGGCCATCCAGTCCAACCCTCTGCCAAGAAGCAGGAATATTGCATTCAAATCACCCCTGACAGGTGGCCATCCAGCCTCTGTTTAAAAGCTTCCAAAGAAGGAGCCTCCACCACACTCCGGGGCAGAGAGTTCCACTGCTGAACGGCTCTCACAGTCAGGAAGTTCTTCCTCATGTTCAGATGGAATCTCCTCTCTTGTAGTTTGAAGCCATTGTTCCTTGTCCTAGTCTCCAAGGAAGCAGAAAACAAGCTTGCTCCCTCCTCCCTGTGGCTTCCTCTCACATATTTATACATGGCTCATATCTCCTCTCAGCCTTCTCTTCTTCAGGCTAAACATGCCCAGCTCCTTAAGCCGCTCCTCATAGGGCTTGTTCTCCAGACCCTTGATCATTTTAGTCACCCTCCTCTGGACACATTCCAGCTTGTCAATATCTCTCGTGAATTGTGGTGCCCAGAATTGGACACAATATTCCAGGTGTGGTCTAACCAAGCAGAATAGAGGGGTAGCATGACTTCCCTAGATCTAGACACTATGCTCCTATTGATGCAGGCCAAAATCCCATTGGCTTTTTTTGCCGCCACATCACATTGTTGGCTCATGTTTAACTTGTTGTCCACGAGGACTCCAAGATCTTTTTCACATGTACTGCTCTCAAGCCAGGCATCGTCCCCCATTCTATATCTTTGCATTTTGTTTTTTCTGCCTAAGTGGAGTATCTTGCATTTGTCCCTGTTGAACTTCATTTTGTTAGTTTTGGCCTTCATCTCTCTAATCTGTCAAGATCGTTTTGAATCCTGCTCCTGTCCTCTGGTGTCTTGGCTCTCCCTCCCAATTTGGTGTCGTCTGCAAACTTGATGATCCTGCCTTCTAGCCCTTCATCGAAGTCATTAATAAAGATCCTGAGCAGGACCGGGCCCAGGACGGAACCCAAGATGCACTCCATTTGTCACTTCTTTCCAGGATGATATATATATATATATATATAGTCGTGTCAGGAGCGACTTGGGAAACTGCAAGTTAATTCTGGTGTGAGAGAATTGGCCATCTGCAAGGACATTGCCCAGGGGATGCCTGGATGTTTTGATGTTTTAACATCCTCGTGGGAGGCTTCTCTCATGTCACCACATGGGGAGCCAGAGCTGACAGAGGGAGCTCATCCACGCTCTCCCCGGATTCGAATCGGACTTGTCAGTCTTCAGTCCTGTCGGCACAAGGATTCAATGTTTCCTATCAGGCCAACAAGTGACTATCGCTCATAAAACACTGAAAAACACAGCAGAAGAGACTTAAAAAGCCAAAAAAAAAATTACAGCACATGCACAAAACTACATATATATGCAAACACACATATATACAAATATATGCACACACATACACACACACAAAGAACATATACACAGACTGGGCCACAGCAGCGCGTGGCAGGGGATCGCTAGTATAATATATAGTAAATAATAATAATAATAATAATAATAATAAGTGATCGGCACACTGGGTGCAGTGCCTAAAGACCTTGGCCTGCACTTAAACACAATCGGCGCTGACAAAATTACCATCTGCCAGCTGCAAAAGGCCACCTTACTGGGATCTGCACGCATTATTCGCCGATACATCACACAGTCCTAGACACTTGGGAAGTGTCCGACATGTGATCCAATACAACAGCCAGCAGAGTGTCTGCTGTGGACTCATCTTGTTGTGTTTCAAATAATAATAATAATAACAATGGGGATTCAGGGCAATGGAAGATTAATGTATTGCTAGCACTTTAGTTTCCACTGTGAGTCTGAAGGGGACGCAGTGAGAAGGAAAAACCCAGAAGTCCCTGCCTTCAAGCTGATCTGACCTGCAGCAGGGAGTTCCGCAGTTCTCCATTGCCCGTTTGGGCCAACATCAAGGGGAACATGGCCACAGCAGCAGCTTCAACCAAAGACTCTTTTTCTGCCTTGCTTTCTTCCCCTTTACCTAACATTGTAACAAACTCCTCAATAAAGTATTGATTAATTGTAACCTTTTCCTCTCCATAGTGCTACTTTGTGTCCTTTTACGGCCTCAAAACTCTTTTCCGCATGAACTCTCTCTCTCTCCCAGGCTGCAGGCAGCTGCTGGCCTGCCCGCGGTGTGATTCTCACATTCCTCTGAACTGCGGATACGGAAACCCATTGGTTCCCCGTATCCACGGGTCAAGAGATCAGTCCAAAATCGGTGTCACTCTTCTTCTAGGCTAATTTCAAGACTATTGGCTATCTTGCTTTCACTCTATTAACCTCTCCGCCCCAGGAATAACCTTTTTTGCACCCTAAAACTCAACATGGAGCCCAGCTGGCTCCCTGCTGGCACAACGTTGCCGCTGCCGTCTTGCCGATGCCAAAAAGTCTGTTGACCTGGGGAACCTGCTGCGGTCGCCGCTTGGGACCCCCGGGGAACAGACAAGCCATCCTGGTCCTTGGCGAGATGGGATCTGTAGTTTTCTCCACTCCCAGACATGGATCCCCGACCTCCAGCGCTCGTAATCACTCCTATAGCAACTCAATGAACTCTGGGAACCTTCCCCTTTTACCCTCATGGATTCTGCAAACTTTTATTGGACTTTGATCAACTTTTAAATAACTTTTAAAAACTTTTCAGAAACCTTTTCCCCAAGCCTCCTGAATTTCCACTATGAATTTTCTTGACTTTCAATGGACTTTGGATGTGTGGGATGGGTTACTAAGAATTCTTTTCCCTCTTTATTAATGTATGACTTATGAACCCCATGGATGTATCTGTATAAAATATGAAATGCCACCTCTTCGTGACCCTTGCATATCAAAATCTCAGAAAAATATTTTTTATTTCCTGAGGTAGATTTTCCCTAACTGAAAGGACTCAGCGGGAACTTCTTGCATAAACAATACAATAGGTACACTGAACATTAGGAAGAACTTTCTGACTGTGAGAGCTGTTCAGCAGTGGAACTCTCTGCCTCAGAGTGTGTGGAGGCTCCTTCTTTGGAAGCTTTTAAACAGAGGCTGGATGGCCATCTGTCAGTGGTGCTTTGAATGCAATTTTCCTGCTTCTTGGCAGAATGGGGTTTTTGTGTACTAGATTTATTTTATTTATTTATTTATTTTATTTGCTTTACTTCTATACTGCCTTTCTCAGCCAAAAAAGGCGACTCAAGGCGGTTTACATAGTAAAGGTTGACACAACAACATCAAAAAGCAGTTAAAACACATTATACAAAACATATCAAAACAGCAATCATTAACCTAGACGTGCGCCTCAGCAACAAATCAAAATCAGAATCCGCAATCATAATCCTTTATACCAATTCCTATGTTCAGTTGTACCATCTTACTGTGTTTCATTGCACAATTAGCCAAACGCTTGTTCATAAAGCCAGGTCTTGACCTTCCTCCGGAATGCCAGCAGTGAGGGGGCCTGTCTGATGTCCACAGGTAGGGCGTTCCACAGCCGGGGGGCCACCACCGAGAAGGCCCTGTCTCTCGTCCCCGCCAACCGCGCCTGCGATGCGGGCGGGACCGAGAGCAGGGCCTCCCCAGACGATCTTAATGTCCTAGTCGGTTCATAGGAGGAGACTCTAGGATTCTATGATTCTATGATCAAAGGTTTGGAAACTCTGAATCCTTCTGAGAATGTGTTAGGGAGCTGGAGATGTATAGCCTGGAGAAAAGAGGGGATATGATAGCAAAGCTTGTTTTCTGCTGCTTCAGAGACTAGGACCCAATGGAGCCATGGATTCAAATTGCTGGGAAAGATAATCCACCTAAACATTAGTGTGCCGTCACGCCTGGGGGCTATAACTCTTAATGAAAGAGGAATGGACGTGACATCTTTCCCCAGGTGATTGCTTCTTGCCCTCCTTTAGAAAACTGGAACTCCCAAGGACCAAAACACTGTAGATAATTCAAAATAAGTTTAATTGTTCACAAAGAGTTATCCCTTTAAGGCAATAAGCTGGAAGTTTCAAAGGGGTAAAGGAAATATACATTACAGTCTCTGGTTGTCTTGGGTCCAAGGAGTTTTGCAGCTGAGAAGCTTTTCCAGGTCCCTCTTTCTCAATGGCTGTGAATATCGGAATAATCACAACCCCAATTCCAATGGCCTATATTTTGAAGGCACAAAGCCTTCCTCTGGTGCCAAAGAACTGGTTTGAAGGCGCTTGAGA